CCAAAAGAAAGGAGCAGGCTCTTTTTCATAAGGCTTACAATATACAAAAATGTAACTAAATTTTTTATATATAAATAGAGAAAAAAAAAATGAATATATTATATGAATATTCATGTGTTTCTTCCTTAGAAGTTAGTAAAACTAAAATAGAGGACAGAATTCGGTCTTTTTCAAACACTGATTATGGGAGTTTGGTAATTTTCTTTGAAATTGCTGATTATGTAAGTTTAGTTCGATTAGCAGGGTTGAATCCTCTAAGTGCCAATCTCTTGCATTACTACACTTTCAAACATTAGTAACGATTAGGATTGAAAGCTCTTGAAGATTTCTCTCCCTTGATGCTTGGTTGCATCATAACATAAATGAAATTGCACTTACAACTTAAAAACTTCTAACACAATCTACAGTGCTCCTAAATTCTAGTACCCATCAAATTGCAATAGCTTCTGTGGTGATAATTGGAGATAAAGGATCTAAACTATATCAAAAGCAATCATATTTACAAGGTAGCTTAGCAAGTGAAGCATGGACTAGCATGCAGCATGGCAACAGCTCATCTACCAATATACATTTGCAGAGGTTATTTTAAATTACAAAGCTATCAATTGAACTTGAGAGAGATAGAGAGAGATATGAACCTCCGATATTTCATGGCCAACATTCCGGACGTGAATAACCTTTGAGGGTTCAGTCATCCTCAACTGCTTGCAGCAAAAAAAAAACAAACACCCAAATTAACATTTCCAGAGGTTTACAATACCAACTCAACCATGCTAAATGAAAGCAAAGAAATTAAGCTTCAATAAGGGTTGGCAATCCCAGTTTTCCAGAGATTAATTTAAATAAACAATGAACAGTGATTGTCCTGCCGCAATGCAGGCTTTGAAACCCAAAAACAAGAAGAAATTGACCAATCACAAACCAGAAGCCCAAAATCCCAAAATTTGAGAAAACTCAAATCAGAGTACCACAAAGAGTTCATAATTCAATCAATAAACAGTCAATGTTCATACAAAACAAGCAAAAACAGGAGCACCAAAGGTCAAAAAACCCTAGACTACTTCCTCGAAACAGCAATCCCAGCAAAAATTAAACGAGTAGATGAACAAGAAAAAAAGAAAAAAAAACAAAAACACTTCGTTGTTCTTGTGTTCATAGTATCTTCAAAGTAGCAAGAAATCGAAGAAATGGAAAGAAGGCTTGCCTGAGAGGAGAGAGAGAAAAAGAGGCGAAAATGGAAGAGAAGGGAATCAGAGACTCAGAAGCGAAGGAATAGATCGACTGCCTCGCGCATAATACTGCTACCGTTGCCCTATGCTTCGCACCCCACTGGATTTATCGTACACCCTCACCCATATTCCTTTTTGAGGCTAAAATGGTAATTCACCACACATACTTGTAATCCCACATGTGAATTATACTTTTTTTTTTTTTTTTTCCTTTTTTTATACTCTAAATTTGTAAAGTCATTATTTTAGTTTTAGGGTTTTAAAAAATTAATAAATTTCAAATTCTCGAGAAAAGCAAGATTTTAGGGTTTTGTTTTTTCCTCGAGCTTAAAGGTTGTACGTGCGAAATTGTTACTATGTTGTCAGTAAAGCAGCTTAGAGGGTCTTTTGCAATTGCTCCAAAATCTAGTTTACTCGTCTCCACGTTGAAGAAAAACACACACCCAAAAATGTTAAACGTGTCTCCACCGATAAAGGTCTAGAGTGAAGGTGCTAGAAACAAGGGCTCGAATAAGCGTGTTAGTGTGGTCATAGGCTATTTGAAATGAAGATAGTAATTTGCTAACATCGATAACTCAGATTGAGGTGCAAACGGTCTATGGTCAATGAATGAAAGGCGACAGCAGAGGTTAGGAGGATAAGAGATCTCATATCAGTTGAAGAGAAGAACATAGCATTTTTTATAGGAGTTTAGAAATCTCTCACTAGTAGACGTGTTTTTAAAACATCGAAAGAAAGCTCAAAAAAGACAATACAGAGGAAGATTAGTATAGATGGTGGTGTACTCGTAGTGTGGGTGGTGATATGTTCACGACGTGGGTAGTGGTGGCATCGTAGACAATGTCAACAGTGATAAAGTGCAACAATGAAAAACATGTAGTCTTTGAAGTTTAAAAAATACACAGATTGTAGAATAGGGTTTATGATCGAGAGTTATTCGTTTCAGCGTGTTTCGATTGAGGGTCAAAATCGACATTTGGTATCAAATGTAGGATGTCGAAACAAATATTGTCATCGTACAACGTTGTTAGAGGAGATGCCACGATGATGAAGAGTGTAAAGAAGGAGAGTGTAACACTCCAATACTCGTTACTCACGAAAAGTAACTTTGCAACGTGGGAATTAAAGATCCGTGTTAATTTATAGGCACAAAGGTGTGTGGGACACTATCAAGCATGACGACGACATCGAGGAGCACAAGGACAGGATACTTCCCCCTCATGATTATTGGTTTCACATGATGGAATGTCTAATGTTTTTTCACCGGAAAACTCATTGGATTGTTGCGAGCGAAACGAACAGGGCGTGCTTTGGAAGAAGCGATCTGTTACCGAGCCGTATTATTAGGAATAACAAAAGCATCTCTAAATACTCAAAGTTTCATATCGGAAGCAAGTTTTCAAGAAACTGCTCGAATTTTAGCAAAAACCGCCCTCCGAGGTCGTATCGATTGGTTGGACTTTGTTTTTTTGTGTGTCATGTGCTGGATACTTCCCCCTATGATAAGTACAGATGGGTACACTATGATATTATGCGTGCTCTTTTCTCTCTACATAGTCTTTACTTGTGATGTCATTGTCAGCTATGCATGGGTGCTTTGACTTTACCTGAAATACAAAGGTAGCACGTGACTTGAATATTTTAAAAAATACTCAGTAAGTGACCCCACTATTGGGGTTATGAAATGCAAAGACATGCAACCTGAATGAGTCCTATAATTTTAAGGGTGTATTCCTATGGGTGACTATCCTAAGCGGGTAATTGGATGTATATTTACTATTCCACACACGACTCATATGTGTGAGTATGAACCCACCAGCCAGTTCGCACATCTCTTAGCCCAATTTTCTGGTCGGGTTAGCATTCTATGGTGCTGTTGCTGGACACCCGATAAGAATAGTGACCGTTGCAGCATTATGATAAATATTATTTTCCTTTTCATAACTATGCATATGTACCATCATAAAAGGAAAAATTTTCCGATGCATGTAACATACAATGATCCATGAGGTCCCAACATTTTCGTTCATTAAACTATGTAAAACAATCTCTTTCATCTTCCTTTATATCATATCATTTTCATCGTAACTTTCAAAACATATATCGGAATTATGTATTATGTTGAAACATCTTATTACATGTCATTCATATCATACATGTGTCATATCATAAAACATATTGCAACATGTATCATATTATAATCACATCATAATCACATCACATATAGCAGACATATGACACGTGCGAAGCCACGGGACACGTATCATCATATATAACACAACTTATAACCACACCGATAGTAAGGTCACTTACATGGTTGACCTTAGCCAAAGTTTCTATCTAATTTCGAACCGGCTTTCCTTCGTTCCTCGCATTCTTTTCCACTTATGCCGAAGTGCTTTGCCCTATCAAATACATTCACCTAATTTCTTCGGTACTTATAATTCCTAGCTTAATTTAACTTAAATAAATATGTCAATATTATTTCACTGCTTGGATCACATAATCCGATGAAAAAAAAAAAGTTTTGGAGAATCTACTTCGACCTTTTCTTAAAGACAATCTTTCCCTCACCGATTGAAACTCATGGAGAATTTCTACATGCAAACTTTTTACCGTAAATGAAAGTCTTGAGAGAGTTTTGGGCTAGAGATTGGAGTTTTGAGCGACAGATCCTCTCCCGTTTGCCTTTGCTCACGAAAAAAAGGGGATTCTTCCAACCCCTTAATATTAGAGGAAAAACGGAGCCTAGGGAACCTTGCCCGACCATGACCCTCTTTAGATCGTTCTATAATATTCCAGTGGTTGCCACAATGAATGACGTCGTAGCTCCTGCAAAAGTAATAACAATCAAAGCCGTAGGTGGGTATTCAAATAAAGGGGAGGAATTGCATGGAGTTTTCCCGTATTTCGACCGTAGAATCTAAGAGAGACATTACTGTGGACATTCTAACCGAAAAATTCGACGAGCAGGAGAGAAATATTTGGGAGAAGGGTTTGTGAGAGGTTGGTGAGAGAAGTACGTATACGAGCCTATCTGGGAATCCATATGTGCATACGTGAGCTATGTGTAGAGAAGTAATGCACATCCAATCACCCAAAATTGGAAAGTGAGACCAAGACCATGATAATGACAAAAGAACAGATCAAATATGATTGCATGTGTTTGTATTTCCTGACCTCAATAGTAGAGTTACTTACCGAATATTTTTAAATACTATCACATGCTACTTCTTTTCAGATAAAAGTAAAGTACGCCTATACAGATGACGGTGCTACTGTGAAACCCAACGAATCGTTACTTTTTTTCTACTATTTTACTGTTTATTATTATTTCTATCATATCATCATCCACCGTGCACGATAGTTAATTTTGTTTAAACGTAACATGTATAGTTAATTATTAATTTAATAACCATACTAATTTTTTTTTTTTTTATGTATACAATGAAAATTAAATTATTTAAATTTATTTTAATAATTTAACTTAATAAAAGTAAAATATGTTATTTATTTATATGATGAAATTATGATATTTAATTTTTTGGTATTTTATTATTAAATTTTTTATTATTTTGTTATTATTAACTAAAATATATATTTTACTAATATTTTTTTGTGAAGAAAATTACAGGGATTTATACGACAGCTTATGGGATGTTTTTTTAATAATTATTTTTAAAATTTATTTATTGATTTAATTTATCCTTGAGGGTATTTTAGTAAATTTGCTATCTAGGGTTTTCAACGTTCCATAGGATAAATATTGAAGTTGCTTTACTTCTTTCTCTCTCCAGTTCGTTGAGCATTGCTGCGCCTAAGAGCACTAATCCCGTCTCCTTTCGTTCGCTCTGTTGATTACCAGATTCCGCCATGGCGACTGGAGCTGCACCGGCGCGTCAACTCTCACAGAAAGAGGCCGACATTCAGATGATGTTGGCAGCCGAGGTTCATCTTGGCACCAAAAATTGCAATTTTCAAATGGAACGATACGTTTTTAAGCGCAGAAATGATGGTGTGTTTTCAGTTTACACGCCTTTAGATCTTCTCTGGTTTGTTGTCTTAGTTTGTTTTCTGTTTTTCATTCTTATCGGTGATTTTCGCTTGGAGTGATTTAGCAAGTGCCAACGGGCGTGTTGTTATTGTTGTTGAATTTATAAGAATATATTGTGATTTAAATTTTATTTATTTTTAGGCGTGAAGTTTTAGTCTTTGGCTATTTTTCTGTTTATCTCTTTAAATTGTTACTGTATTTTCCGAAGAATTTTCTCCAAATTCTCCCTCGATGAATTTTACATTTCGGTTTGACACTAATTTCTGATGCAATTTTACATTTCGGGTTTGTTTTTCTATCGCGTTGAACTGGAGAACTTAGTCTAATCTACATGGTTTTGAGAATCGGTTTTCTTTAGTCTGTTGCCCAAAAGGAACTCTTGAGTTTATTGAAGGGGTCAATGCTGATCGTCTCTACAACATGTCAATGTTAGGTTATCTGAATTGTTGCATTGTGGTCGTGTACAATTTTTTCATTTTAAAGTTCTCCTTTTGCTTTCAGGTATCTACATCATTAACCTTGGTAAAACATGGGAGAAACTTTACATGGCTGCTAGAGTTATTGTGGCTATAGAGAATCCTCAAGATATCATTGTTCAATCTGCTAGGCCCTATGGTCAGAGGGCTGTTTTGAAGTTTGCTCAGTACACTGGTACTCATGCTATTGCAGGAAGGCACACTCCCGGAACATTTACCAACCAGCTACAAACGTCGTTCAATGAACCACGTCTTCTTATACTTACTGATCCTAGAACTGATCATCAGGTGTTTAATTTAGAAATCAATAACAGTACATGGTTTCAATTTAAGTCCAAGAAGAATGATGCCTTTATATTCTCAATTATGTTTGAATTCATGCTTGTTCCCTAGATTTATTTGTGTTTGGATTCACTTGATGCTGTTCTTTGTTGATGTCGCTTTGTTGGTTCCAACCTGCAGCCTATTAAGGAAGGTGCCCTTGGGAACATTCCTACAATAGCCTTTTGTGACACTGATTCTCCAATGCGGTATGTTGATATTGGAATCCCGGCTAATAACAAGGGAAAACATAGCATAGGATGTCTGTTTTGGCTTTTGGCAAGGATGGTTCTACAAATGCGTGGAACAATTCGTGCTGGGCACAAATGGGATGTTATGGTAAAATTCTTAATGCAATTTTGTACTTTGATTTTAGAAACCACGTTTTGGCTCAAAATTTTAAATTAATTGCGAACTATTTCCTTGTGTAGGTGGATTTGTTTTTCTATCGTGAGCCAGAGGAGGCTAAGGAGAAAGAAGAGGAAGAAGCTCTTCCACCCCCAGACTTCGGCATTGCTGACTATGGTGCTGCTCCACTTGTTGCCTCAGATCAATGGGCCGCACAAATTTCTGATGCTCAATGGGGTGCTGCAGATGTGGTTCCTGCTCCTGCTGCTCCAGCCGCTTCGAGTGTCGAGTGGGCCCCAGAGCCAGGTTGAATCTTGAGCTTTTGTCGTTAATTGTTTATGGAATCCCTATCTGCCTTTTAGTGTGTCTATTCATGTAAACTAGCTTTGGTCTCTTTGAATAACCTTTTCCTCTAAAGCTCCAAACCATTCATCTTGCTTGCTCTCCATATGAAGTTTTTGATTAGTACCTACCCATACTGCCAAATACCCTGTTCTTTGCCATTACATTGTTTTTGCATTTTGGACATCACTGACTAGTAGTTGTAAGATGCAACTAGTTGAGGTTGGTTTCAGTTTGATTTCGTGTTTGAGGTGTTCTCTTGATTTATGATTTTAATGCCTAGTGTAACTGCCCAAGGCCACCGCTAGGAGATAATGTCCTCTTTGGGACTTTTCCTTTCAGACTTTCCCTCAAGGTTTTTAAAACGTGTCTGCTAAGGAGAGGTTTCTACACCTTTATAAAGAATGTTTCGTTCTCCTCCCCAATTGAGGTGGAATCTCACAATCTACCCTTATTTGTGGCCTATCCTCACCGACACTTGTGATTGAAGTGGGACTCCAAAATCCACCACTTTTAGGGCCTGGCGTCCTTGCTAGCACACGGTCTTATTTCCACCCCCTTTGGGGCTCAGCCTCCTCGCTGGAACATTGCTCGGTGTTTTGACTCTGATACCATTCGTAATTGCCCAAGCCCACTACTAATAGAAATGTTTCCACACCTTTATAAAGAATGTTTTGGTTTCCTCCCCAAACCAGGTGGAATCTCACACCTAAACTATGCTTGTGGCGTTGACCATAACAAGAGTGCTTTTAAAGGGTCGAAAGTACTCCTAATAAAAGCCCAAATGACATGGTTGCTTCTACAATTTAGTGCTCCCACAAAGCAAGTGATAGTGTGGTGCTAATGATATGGTCTCAATATCTTGCTGGCTTTCAATAACATCAATTTTCCTTTCCTACTCACACTCTACATGCATTTCTTCTCACTTTTTCACCCTTGTTTTTTCTTTGTTGCAGTTCCATTGGCAGCAAATGAGTGGGAGGCTGCAGTAGCACCTCCACCACCGGCACCACCAGCTGCTGATGGTGCAGCACCTTCCTCCGCCAGTTGGTTTTGAGAGAGAGGTCCTAACGATTTGTACTCTAAATGGATTCATTATTATGAGTTTGCTTGTTTATTTAGGAATACCATCCTTCTTTTTTGGCTGCTTAATCGACTCAATTTTGTTTCTTAGTCCAGTTTTAGATTTAAAGTTGAATTACATCTGACTTCCAATTACATCTTCCCTCTTAGTCCTTTTTTTTCTCTTTTTGAGATATATGAGAAATTATTACGTCAACTTTTGCATACGAATAATATATATGTTAGTTTGTAGACACCTTTGGAGTGCTATCATGCACATTTGTACTTGACAATGACTTGCCCATTGACAACTAGATCTATTATTATATGACTGAATGATCCAAGTTAAGCTTAGGTTACAAATTTCGGATCGATGATTGACATAATGACTAATTATGAGAGTTACTACTTTTGAAGTAACGATTTAATTTTGAAGATATATAAAGTTAATGTATATTTTCTTTGTAAAGTAAATTTGAAAAAAATGTATTAAAAAGAGCATTTATGTTTTTTTTAGTCTAGAAATAAGTTTCTATGAATTATCATTGTCACCACCCAATTTTCAAACTTGCTTAAAGTATGTCGATATGGTGAAATGTTTCACGTACAAGTACAAAAAGAGAGTAGGTTACCAAATGATGGACAGAACAAAAAAGCTAACCCTAGGCTCCTCTCTCTATGACATTGCTCGAGATCCGTTCACATTCTCGACCAACTCCTAGTTGTCATCTAACAAACATGTAAGATATGTAGTGAGTACAAGGCTCATTAGATAGCCTACTTGTAGGCTCTTAATCATGTCTATGATGGATGTTAGCGTATCACACTCTTATCTTGAACGGGAGACATGTCTTGGTTCTTAGTTTTTGGTCATGAGCTCTAAGTATATATCATAATTATGTTCAATAAGGATCTTGGTCCTGGGTTATGAGGTCATATGTTCTTAATTCCTGATTATACACTTGTTGATTCCTTGTCCTTGAACAGGTTTAAGGAGAGCGGATCCCATCATGCTATTCTACTTCCACTCCATGCACAATGGATAGACCCTAGTTTTAGCTCATGCACTAATATGATCCCTCACCCTTGGATGAGTTTAATGAGAGTTGATCCCATCAATCCCCACTATTAGTTCCCGCTCTCCAATCTCATTGGTTAATGCATTGGACTGTCCACTTCTACTCCATAGACAATACACTATACTAGTACTAGCCCTAGAAACTCCCTTAAAAGATCTTCTAGGTCACATGGTTGATGAAGAATATGAACCTAAACTTGTCATCATGCGACAAAACATGAACAAGACACGTGGTAAGTAAACATGGATAGGGTAAACCTGCAAGAACATGGGTAGGAAGAACCTACATAAACATGGACAAGACATCCAACCTACATGTCGGAGAACATAGAAACATGACACCTTGCGAGAAAACATGGGTAGGACATTCTACAAAAACACGGGCTGGGTAAACTTGTAAGAACATGGGTATGATAAACTTGCAAGAAAACATGGGCAGGGTATTTCATTCATTATATAGTGTAATGGATATCACGTGCATACATGACAATACAAAAGGCATATAAGCATCATATAATTAATATGGTACATGGAAGAGCTACAAAACATGCATCATCATAGATCAATCAATTTGCTAACTCCAAGGGTATGGTCACTTAACTGATTACCTTAAGAAGGAAAGAATTACCTAATTACCTTAAGAATGAAAGTTTGATTCTTTCCACCGCTCGATGAAATGCCTGTCGCATTGCTTCCTTGTTCAAAACGAGAAACGATCTTACTAAACGAACTGGAATTGAAGATTTAGAATCATTCGAAATTTGTTACAGAACCAGCGTAAGAATTAAGAACCATATGTGTGGGAGGGTTTAACGACTACATTTTCAGGAGAAATGGAGGCGAAAATTGAAATGACAAATCGGTGAGTCGCAACTCGGATTTACTGAGTCGATGTGGGATCTCACAATCCACCCCCTTCCTGCCCAGTGTCCTCGCTGACACTCATTCCCTTCTTCAATCAATGTGGGGCGCCCCAATCCACCCCCTTCGGGGCCCAATATTCTTATTGACACACCGCCTCATGTCCACCCCTTTCAAGACTCAACTTTTTCACTAACACATTGACCGGTGTTTAGCTCTAATACCATTGGAATCCATTATCTAACAAATTTCAAGTGAATGATTTGGAACAACTCAACATGTCCCATAAATCTTATAAAGATTTTAAGAACAAAATGTTGACTCAATCTCAAATGATTTGCTAATTTCATTTAAGGAAGAACATCTCAACATTGGTCGTGGAGTGCCTTTATTCGCCCGAACAAGCAACTAAACTATTGTTGTAATTTATGTTATTACATTATCCATTACATGAAAAATCTTAGGTTCGACTCTAAACCTTAAATGAAAACAACAATTACACGACACTAACAACAATAAACATACAATTACTTGCAAGACGAACACATACAACCGTATAAACTTGTATAATTATACGAGAATCGACAATGGGATCGAGACTTGTTACATTCAATTACAAAGATCCTATTCAATCAATCATACTCAGCAATCTCAAAAATCCGAGCGGATGTATCGAGAGCAATAGAAACAAGGTACTCATGATTGGCAGACACCGAGAGAGAGATTGGATGGCGTCAGAGTGCCCAGTGAAGGTTCTTACACATTCTTCAGAGAGGCTATCCCATATTCGTACTCGACCATCGACACATCCGGTTTCAAGATATCTCGATGTGCCAATCCAAGTAAGACATGATACTCCATCCTGTCCAAATGAAGGATATTGAAGATAAATGTATTTTACAAACTTAAGAACATAATTTAGTAGTCAATAGACCTCGTGCTCGTATGTACTGCGTGGCGTCGACTGTCGAAGATCCCAAATGATGAGCTTCTGATCCATTCCTCCAGTTGCAGCCCAAGGGGAGCTGCCATTCAAGATTGAAAAGAATCAGAACATTCATTAGGCTATAGAAAAGTTAGTGTATAAACTTTTGCACCGATGGCTAGGAGGGAGTCCCACCAACTAATTAAAGGGATAATCATGAGTTTATAAGTAAGGAATATATCTCCATTGGTATGAGTTTTGGAGAAACCAAACAAGCCATGAGAGCTTATGCTCAAAGTGGACAATATCATACTGTTGTGGAGGTCAGTGATTCCTAACATGGTATCAGAGCCATGCCCTTAACTTAGTCATCCTAATCGAATCCTCAAGTGTCAAACAAAGAAAGGAGCCGAGCTTCGATTAAGGGGAGGTTGTTCAAGGGTTACATAGACCTCAGGAGAAGCTCTATGGTGTACTTTGTTTGAAGGGAAGATTGTTGAGGATGGTTGGTGTGAATGTTTGATTAATCCACCACACCTAAATGGTGTGAAAGTTATCTTATTTATAATCAAATAAATTACAAGAATATGAAAATAGTAATAAATGGAAAGATACCTATGGTAATAAAATATTTGACTTATAATAAAATATCAAATATGATATATATGGTAAACTATAATTTATTATTAAATATCCCTAACATCCCCACCGCAAGCTAAGCGTCGGATTTAAACGAACGTGAAGCTTGAATCTGAAAAATTCAAAGAGGTTGAGAAACACTTTTCATGAAGATGCTAACAACCCGGTTCTTGGCTATCAAAAATTGCAGAGGGATCGCCACTCAGCGGCGATGCTGCCTTGGCTTCGGCGAGAATATGTCTAACCCATGAAGAGGGATTGTCGCTTAGCGACGATGCTGCTTTGGCTCTGGTGAGAATATTTCTAACCCCAAGAAGTAGAAGGGGAAACCTAGAGCAAGGGACAAAGACAATGTTGAAGCCGGAAGAGTCGCCACATTGGGCGAAGCAGCCAATTTTGGCGAGAAGGGCAGTCGGAAGAGTCGCCTCATAGGGCGAAGAAGCCAATTTTGGTAGGAAGGGCGGCGACAACTTGGTTGGCGAATAGGCCAGTGCGACACCCAGATTCCGAAGGTAAATCTCTGCAAAAGGTTGATAGGTTTAGGTGAGGGTTTATGTGAAGGATGAAGGTTGATTGGGAAGAAAATGAGAGAGACTATATTGGCCAAGGGGGAAACCGATTGGGTTGGAAAAGGTGAGGTTGTATGTACAGAGTATGACGAAAGGTGATTTGGAGGTCAATAGGGTGGAGCCGAAGAGTAATTAATCGGCTCCGACTACGGCAGCCATGAAGACTGCCCCTACGGCGTCAAAACCAGCAGGGGTGGTGGAGAAGAAGATTAGAGGATTCAAAAACCATTGAAAAGAAAGGATCGGGGTTGTTAAACCGAGAGGGCTCTGATACCATGTGAATGTTTGATTAATCCACCACATCTAAATAGTGTGAAAGTTATCTTATTTATAATCAAATAAATTACAAGAATATGAAAATAGTAATAAATGAAAATAACAATAAATGGAAAGATACCTATGGTAATAAAATATTTGACTTATAATAAAATATCAAATATGATATATATGGTAAACTATAATTTATTACTAAATATCCCTAATAGTTGGGAACGAGTCCCACATTGATTAGGGAGTGATCACAGGTTTATAAGTAAGGAATATATCTACATTGGTACGAGGTCTTTTGGGAAAGCCTAAAGCAAATGCATGAGAGCTTATGCTCAAAGTGGACAATATCATACCATTGTGGAGGTCCGTGATTCCTAACATTTTAAACAAAGTTTCATGAATCATAATTAATCACAGTACCTTGTGGCGTTAGACCGATGCACTCGATCGAATCAGAATGAGAAACCAGAGAATTAACGACCTGTCAAAAGCAACAAGTGTCTTCATTTTTTCTTTTAGAGAAAGGAGACTACAAAACAGAAGTTCAGGGCCATAAAAATTACAGCTTACACCCGATACAAACAACTAACTAATATAAAAAACAGTTCCAATCCCTAATAATAAGGGTCTTCTGTGACGGTGGCCTCGGGCCCACCGCTAGTAAATATTGTCTTCTTTGGACTTTTCCTTTCGGGCTTCCTCTCAAGGCTTTCAAACGCGTCTGCTAGGGAGAGGTTTCCACACCCTTATAAAGGAGAGTGGATTCTATCGAGCTGTTCCCATCCACTCCATACACAATGCATAACATACGGTTCTTAACCACCCTTATATTCCTCTATGTCACCCATGGCATAGTTCTAATGTCCCATGCTCGGGATTTAGGCCAGAATTTGGCATCTAGCGCCTATATTCTCCTACATCCTTTGAGATATAATATGATCTAAGGAAATCTACAGAGCATGACATCCCACCTTGGTGAGGAAAATATGAGATCATGATGTATCATGTTATAAGAGGTCTACAGTGACTTAGGGATGAAGCGAATCTGAGTAGAAGGGTATCTAGCGTTTGAGTGTTTTAGTATGATTTAGGGCTTGAGTTGTGTATTTCTGGGAACGAGCCTACTTGACTTGGCTCTTAGCCTTAAGGCGTATGTCATAGGTTCACAAGGTTGTGCTTTTCAGCTCTAAGGGTTTATCATAAAGACTTAAACCACGACCTAGGCACATGTAAGTTTATAAGCCCTAGTCCAAGCATACATACTAGAATCGTACTACAATGAGTTCAAATGAAAGCTTAGATACTAATTATTTTCCTAAACAAATGAAAAAAGTATGATTTGAACGCGCCCACTTATGAAGAGTGCAATAATGATTTTGTGATCACAAGTTTTTAGCGCCCCCGTTACAAGGGAACTTGAGGTGGCGCCTTAGACCATTCGGCCATCCTCCCATTGGGTTTGATGACAAGGTTTTAACAACTACAACAATAAGAGCCTAGATGAGATTTGAACCAACGCCCTCTTATAAAGACCAAAACATGAGTCTAGCGCCTTAGACCACAAATAAACTTTTAGCAACTACAACGATAAGAGCTTAGATACTAATTTATCTATAAACTTTCAGTAAATTGGTTCAAACCCTCTTACGAAGACCAAAACTTGAGTCTGACGCTTTAGACCACTCGGCCATCCTGACATTAGGCTTGCTAACAAGCTTTTAGTATCTACAACGATAATCCCACGCCCTCTTACGAAGACCAAACTTGAGTCTAGCGCCTTAGATCACTCGGCCATCCTGACATTAGGCATGTTGACAAGCTTTTAGCAACTACAACGATAAGAGCCTAAATGCTAATTAATCTATAACTTTCGGTAAATTTATGTATGAAAATATGAAAGAAATGTCAAAAGTGGGTTGCGAAGACCAAAACTTGAGTTTGGCACCTTAGACCACTCGGTCATCCTGACATTAGGCTTGCTGACAAGCTTTTAGTAACTACAACGATCAGAGCCTATAAACTTCTGGTAAATTTATGTATGAAAATATGAAAAAAAAAATGTCAGAAGTGGGATTTGAACCCACGCCCTCTTACGAAGACTAGAACTTGAGTCTAGCGCCTTAGACCACTCGGCCATCCTGACATTAGCTTGTTGACAAGCTTTTAGTAACTACAACGATAAGAGCCTTTATGTATGAAAATATCAAAAAAAAATGTCAAAAGTTGGATTTGCACCCATACCCCTCTTACAAAGACTAGATCTTGAGTCTAGCGCCTTAGACCACTTTGATTGCATATGATTATATGTTCTAACTCCAATAATGGAGCTACTCATTGAGTATTTTTTAATACTCAAATCACGTGGTACTTATTCTTCATGTAAGGATATGACACCCATGAACGGATGATGGTGTCGCTGTGCAAGCCATGGAAATAAAATCAAGATAGTTACATTCACAGTTCGGTTGTAGCTCTGAGGCTAGATCAAGGCGTATCCATTTCTTTTGAACTTTATAGGTATTTTACTCATTAAGGAGTCGAGCAACAATTTGGAGAGAACCCCACGTATGAGCGGTGTTTTGGATGTAAATTCATGAGCTGATTCATACAAGAGGTAGTAGAAACTTCACTCTTCGATATCCCCTTTCAAATTTAACCTTCTGCTGAGTACCCAATTTCCTATTCTTTCAATCTCGGGTATTCTACCTCAAGAGAATCAAATCGATCGACATGTCGGTTCTCAAATTTCTTTCAAATATATGAAAAACTAAATTCAAATCTTAAAAGTTGTAATAGTAAATAGAAACTAAAAAAATAAATTCTAATTGCACCCCACAAAATCCCATAAATTTCATTTTGGGGCTTAAATTGCCCATTCATTCCCATACTTCCACGTGTCCACTTGATATCTAATTCAACCAGAGGCCCTTTGCACCACAGCAACGAGATAACCCTTCAATTTTCAACCGTTGATCTCTCATTTTATTTCAATCCAAGCCGTCCATATCCACCGCATAATCCTTACCCATTCTTTAGGTTTCAATTTACCACAAACCATTTCTCAAATCCCCAGAACGAACGGAAAACTCAAATTCCTCTAACGGACTCATCAATGGCCGCCTTTCACCAAACCGCCGCCTCACTCCAGGCCAAACTCCTTCCAACAATCCGAATCTCCCGGACCACTCCGGCAAACCTCTCTTTCTCCGCCACTTTTCCTTCTGGAAGACTCCGCCTCGGCCAACACCGCTCTCACGGCGGCGCTAGAATGTCCGCCTCGGCTGCTGGAAGCTACGCTGCGGCGCTGGCCGAAGTCGCTGCGTCTAACAACACGCTGGATGCAACAAGCGGCGATGTCGAGAAGATCGAGAGCGTGTTCGCCGATTCGCAGGTGTTCGATTGCTTCGCGAATCCGACGATTAGCATCGAGAAGAAACTTGCGTTGGTGGATGAGATCGCGGCGTCGTCGTCTCTACTGCCGCATACGGCGAATTTCTTGAAGATCCTAGTGGACGCGAAGAGAATCGATATCGTGAAGGAGATCGTGACGGAGTTCGAATCCGTTTACAACAAAATTACGAACACGGAGCTTGCGGTGGTGAGTTCGGTTGTGCCGTTGGAGCAGCAGCATTTGGCGCAGATCGCGAAGCAGGTGCAGAAATTGAGTGGAGCTAAGAATGTGAGGATCAAGACGCAGATTGATCCGAGTCTGGTTGCTGGATTCACAGTCAGGTTTGGAAATTCTGGATCGAAACTCATTGATTTGAGCGTCAAGAAACAGCTTGAGGAAATTGCTTCTCAGCTTGATCTTGGTAATATTCAACTGGCTGTTTAAATTTGTGATGCATTTTGTGAATTTTTTGTTGAGTGGTGATTATTGAATCTATATATGTGATGTAACTTATTCGAATTTCTGGGAATCCTTAATTCCGCAATTGTGTATTAAACTTTTTGGCCTCAAGTTCCTGTTTCCTATAATGATCAAATAACCTGAATAATAATATTTTTAAAACTTTTAGGCACGATGTTATTGATATTGCAATTAGGGTGCACATTCAACTCGGCAACCTAACTACCCGTACCAACCCAACCCAAACTAGGGTTAGATTAGCATTTTGGGTTGAGTTAGGGTTAATTTTTTCTGAACCTTAACTGAATCGATTTTGATTCAGTTTCATAGGTAAAACCTTTGAAAATCAAATAAAAATATATAAAATATATTTAAAATATTTTTGTATTAATGGATTTGCTAGAGTGGTATTTAATAGTTTCCATTTTTAAAATTTTTATATTATTTAAATTTTATTTGTGTTTAAAACGTATTCTAAATTATAATATATTTAAAACGTATTCTAAATTATAATATATTTAAAACGTATTCTAAATTATAATATATATTATTTATTGTAATATTACAATTTCTATATATTTTTATTTTTTTTAATAATTTAAGGTAACGTATAAATAAACATATTTTAATTAAAATATTTTTATATATTTTTTATTTTTATTATATACCATATTTTTAATCCATTTTCAAAAAAATTTATTGATTATTTAATTTCAGGATAATTTTAATTTTAAATTTCTAAATTTTTAATACTTCTAAACTAATTATTATTTCTGTTTTTATTTTAAATTTCTAAATATTTTATCTTATTTAAATTTCTTTGACCTTAAAACATACTCTAAATTATAATATATATATATATTATTTATTGTAATATTATTATATCACAATTTATATATACATTTATTTTTTTAATAGTTTAAAGCAACGTATAAATAAACATATTTCAATTAAAATATTTTTATATACTTTTTATTTTTGTTATATACCTACTTTTAAAAAATATATTGTCAATAATTGTAGATCGATTTGGGTTTGTTTGTGAATTTTTAATAAAATATTGTAGATCGATTTGTGTTTGTTTGTGAATTTTTAATATATTTTATGTGAGATTGTATCCGAATAATTATAAATTGTGGATAAATAAAACTTAAAAAAAAATTGACAACTCAACCCGGATCCAACCCGAACCTAACCCGAAAATAGAGGGTTGGATTGGTTGGGTTGGGTCAAAAAAATCCTTCAACCCAACCCAACTCGGACCATGTACACCCCTAATTGCAATATAGTCTCATGACATAACATAATCATATCGTAGTATAAGTTATAACATAGCACAATTTGTATCATAGAAAACTTTATACTATAGTATAAACATAACATAACACATCTCAAACAATCATAAGTCACGTATCATTCATACATCATACAAGTCATCCAACCAAATCTGACAATAAAATCAATTATCTAGTTGGCCTAAGCCGACGATTCTAACTTAAAGTTGCTTCTTGAAATTTAATTCTACTTAGGAGTCACGTGACATAGGGTTAAGGCATAATAAACGACTAAACTAAATTTACCAATGCTTATGAAAACGTCATCAAACGACTACCAAAGAGTCTGGGCGTATTGACCAAAACCGGATCAATGAGTTTGAGCGATCAAAACATGGATTGTTGAACTGACCTTGAATTATCAAAGTGTGATGACAGAAAACAATTGTTGTGACTCAATAAGCAAAAGGATATCCCTTTTATATTAGAGTCGGATCTCCCTTTTGTATTAGAGTCTAACTCCCTACTTTCTCGATAAATGTGGAATAGATTTTCTTTCTTTTCTTTTATTTTTTCCTTTCGAGTTTTTTTGTTGTTGTTAAATCATGCACATTTAAAAGAAACTTTTGTGTTTGAAAGTATCTTCCGCTCGAAAAAGCTTAAGTCTTTGTCTATTTGGAGAGCTTTGTAATCTATAACATGCACTCTGTTAGTCACGTATTTGCGAAACATGGACATATGGAATATACGTTATGCATTGCAGAGAGGGACAGTGGTAGGGTTAATCTACATTCACTGGTCTGATCCAATCTAGAATCTCGAAGGATCCAATGAAGCATGAGATCAACTTTTCCTATCGTCTAAACACGAGAATGTCTTTCATTTGAGACATTTTCAAGAATATCTTACCGCCTACCTCATGACCCAGTACACCAAGGCCTTGATTGTTTCAATATAACGTTTTGAACAACGTCACACCAATGGTCGCTTGATATCGATGGTTGGAAGCGATTTCAACTTAAAATCTCAAATATTTATGAGACCGAGACATTGTTACTATTAATACTGATATCACATAGTCTCCCTATCCTCCATAGGGTCGAGACTCTAACCAAAGTAATGTGTAAGCTTGTGAGTGCAACAACCACCACTACTCGAATGACGGTGTGACCTTAAGTTATCTATGATAACCACTACTCGAATGAGGTAGCATGCTAATCTTTTGACGTTACCTTAGTACTCTAGCTAGTCATCTCTCCATAACATCATTAAACTCTACTAACCTTCATATATCATCTAGCATATCTTTATACTAAGATTGAGGCCAACCAATTCCTTAACTTCAGAAAGCTCTTCTCGCAGCCTCATTTTAAGTGTGAGTTAGACTCGTGTGAATCAACTAAGTCAAACTCGAAACATTCGAATAAACCTTACAAACTATTCCTTGTTAAAACTGGTCCGTTAGACCAAATTCTTTAACATTCAGTGTCCAAGAAAAATACTTTTGTTCATCCTAGACTCGAGTCTAAATTATGACTTGAATTTATCTCGACTCCTATAGCCCCACATCTCTTGTACAAAATTGTCCGATCGTGTCGCTCAAGTACTATATAGAAAAGAAGAGCAGCATATATGAATATAAAAATACTTAGTAACTAGCTTACTTAAGAAATTAGCAACTAAGTTCTATTAGTAACAGCTTGTGATTACAATAAAAGAGTTATTAACTAAAAAACTTTTCAAACAAAATGTCAGGATGGCCGAGTGGTCTAAGGCGCCAGACTCAAGTTCTGGTCCTCGTGAGAGGGCGTGGGTTCAAATCCCACTTCTGACAATTTTTCATTTTTTTCATTTTTTTTCATTTTCTTCATAGATATTAAAACCATCGTCGATAAATTCACGACTTACTTTAAAATATTCATTAAATTATTCCCTTCCAAATCCTCCGATCGACGACTCCATCGTTAATCGAATCGCTGCCGGAGCCGCCATTCAAAGGCCTGTGTCCGCCATTTAAGAGCTTTTCGAAAGCAGCCTCGACGCCCAATCCACCTCCGTCGATGTCGCTGTTCCAAGACGGCGGCCTCAAACTGGCCATGGCATCCGTGTCTGTTTCTTTCTTAGGTCGAAATTAAGGTAACTGAATTTCGATATAAGCTACATTCACAATCGTCTGAATATTGTGTGGATTTAAGTTTTTGTCTATTAAATTTCTAGGAATGAAAGCCGTGTTATCAGATGAGGGTTTTAAGATTCTAATGAACCTTGTGAAATTTGTTCAAAGACACTTTTGTATGAATACTGCATAATTTCAAATTTCTGTGATGGGCCGATTTAGTTTTCTTGGATGTCTGGTTAGTAATCACGAATCTCGACAATGGTATGATATTGCCCGCTTTGAGTATAAGCTCTCATGGCTTTACTTTTGGTTTCTCCAAAAGGCCTTGTACCAACGGAGATGCATAAATCCATCAACAATCCTTCTCTCTAACAACGTACACCATAGAGCCTCCTCTAAGGCCTATAGAGCCCTCGAACAACGTACACCATAGAGTCTCCCTCCTTGAACAACCTCCTCTTAATCAAGGCTCAACTCCTTCTCTGGAGCCCTCGAACAAAGTACACCCTTTGTTCGACACTTGAGTAACTTTTGACTTCACCTTCGATGTTCACAACTTCTTTGTTTGACATTTGAGGATTCTATTGACATGACTAAGTTAAGAACATGACCCTGATATCATGTTATGAACCACGAACATCCACAATGGTATGATATTATCCCCTTTGAACATAAGCTCGCTTGGCTTTACTTTTGGTTTCCCCAAAAGGCCTCATACCAATGCAGATGTATTCCTTACTTATAAACTTATGATCATTTCCTTAATTAGCCAATGTGAGACTCCTCTCAATCATCCATGCTCTATTAATATATTAATATAACTGCTGGGAGGAAGACACTAAAAAAATGCATCCGATGATTAAACGAAGATAGTGGACCTCCTAAGTCGTTTTGCCATTCATCATATAAACATCAGCTTTTCTTGCAGAAAGGTTATTTGAAGAATTAGTCAACCTTGCATGTTTTTATTACTTTGGTATTGCTTTCGTGGTCAGATGTCTTGGTGGTTTACAATGCGCTATCTGAGTTGAGCTATGCTGGTTAGTATGTTTATTAGCATGGAGCTGCCAGAACAGATATTCATTCAGTTGGGTCAGCTTTAATGTTGGATGTCATTCGTACAGTTTATGGTGTATCTGTTGCCTGCAATCTAATGAAATTCGTACAGTTGGATGCCATTCAGAAAATGACGGAGCCTGTTCAGATTTCAAGATGGATGGTCTAATCTCCAACTCAAATTATGTTGCGAAGAAGAGAATGATGGTGTGGTAATTTTATATACTCTTGAAGGATTTTGCACTTTATAGCTTTTCAGTATTTTGAAGAATTCGTACCGTTTAAGATATTGTCCTCTTTGGGCTTTTCCTTATTTTTAACATGCACTACCAGCAGATATTATCCTTTTTGGGTTTTCCTTTTTAAGCGTCCCCTCAAGGTTTTTAAAATGCGTCCGCTAGGGAGAGGTTTCCACACTCTTATAAAGAATGCTTCATTCTCCTCTCCAACAGATGTAGGATCTCACAATCCACACCGAATGCTTTGTTCCCCTCTCCAACCGATGTGGGATCTCACATTCACCCCTCTTCGAGACCCAACGTCTTCGCTAGCACTCGTTCCCCTCTTCAACCGATGTAGGATCTCATAATCCACCCCAGTGGAAGGCCCAACGTCCTCGCTGTCACTCGTTCCTCTGTCCAGTCGATGTGGGACCCCCCATCTACCCCCCTTCGAGGCCTATCATCCTTGCTGGCACACCACCTCGTGTCCACCCCCCTTCGGGGCTCAGCCTCCTTGCTGACATATCGCTCCGTGTTTGCCTCTGATACCATTTGTAACAGTCCAAGCCCACCTCTAGCAGATATTGTCCTCTTTGGGATTTTCCTCTCGGGTTTCCCCTCAAGGTTTTTGAAACGCGTTTGCTAGGAAGAGGTTTCCACACCTTTATAAAGAACGTTTCATTCCCCTCTCAAACCGAGGTGGGATCTCACATAAACTCCTAATGAGCAACCTTGTAAATTGACCAAAAGCTCTTCCAAATGATGATATGGGAATTTTCACAAACACCAACATCACAATCACCTGCCCTTGCCCTTAACACCAAAACCTCAGACGTAAGATAAGATATTAGCAAGCAACTAACTTCCTGGTTTCTGTATCATACCTTATCTCAATTAACTTTCATGAAGATTAATCTTTGTTTTTATTGCATCAAGCAGATTCCGTTTGAGCTTAATATCCATAATTGTTCATTTAATTATTCTATTCTTGTCATGTTTTCTTTCCTTAGGTTGTACTATTGTGAATACAGTCATACTTCTCTTTACGTTCCAGCAGAAGTAGGGAGATTTCTTTGGAATATTATTCCAAACCTTGGAATTAATCAATGAGACGAGCATTTTGCATCTCAATATCTAGGTCTCATAACGAGCTTTATTACCAAGTCCACACTTACTGGAAGTATTAAGAATGAACTAAAAAGATTATATTTACGGTAACCTATAAGAGTTTGTGTGTCTAAAAGTAATTTAATGACTTCTGTTTTTGTTTTTATTAATTTCAATTGAAGAGCATGGATCATAGTCTAGCACAGGATCATTGTTATTATTTTCATTTCTTTTCTATATTTTCTTATTGCAGGAAGAATGGTGGAATGCAGTGCTTTAAAAATTGCCTAAAGCACCCAAACCTTTCATGAAAGTGTCAATTATATTGCCATCTGAGCGTTGATGTGGATGTTCATCCAACCAAAAAAAGTGGTAAATTTTTTGTTAGGATATCCTTTCTAATCTTTCTTGTTGTTGGGTACTTCTGTTTGCTTGATATAAGGTACCCATTGTTTATTCACTCCCAAGAAAAGATGAAATGTGAAATGTGGACTATATATATATATACATAAATATATGTGCACTCCAAGCATGATAGATTTATGTCATACATTAGTTGAGCAAAGTGAATATGAGTTCGATTTCAGCTGCCATTGGGAATTTCTATGCTGTGTGTCGCAATCACCCTTCTCTTCGCAGCGGATTTGACGATTGTGTGGCACCCACTCTCAGTACTAAGTGAGTCAAGCCAACTTAGAATCGCATCGTCTACGGCTAGGCAACATATGCTCAAGCCTCTGGCTCTGATTTGAGAAGAAGGTTTTAGAAAACGGGGGTAGAGAGATTTTGAACGTAGTTTGAAAGCAAGGTTGAGAGAGATTGAAAACGATGTTGTATGGCATACAAGCAAAAGGCAGTACAACGGCTTAAATAGTATATAACTTTTTGGGTAGGGAGAATTTGACAACTAGTCGCATCCCCCTATAGTATATTTTGAGGCAATTCAGGTCTGGCAGGCCTAGACGTAATTTCGCCGAATGGTCATACAAAATCGGGGGAGGAGTTGACAACTAGTCACACCTCTCTATAGTACATTCTAGGGCATTTCATGTCTATCTGGCGTAGACATGATTCTGTTAAAACGTCATACACTTTTAGAACACCGTATTCCTAAGCTTCCTCATCCTGCCTATTTGAGTTTAAAATGTATTTCTTTCTTAAATGTGCAATGTTTTTGGCTATTAAAGCGAACCTTTTACTACACTTTGTTTAACTTTAATGTGGTTTGAAAACGCAATGCTACTTTAGAACACCTGAACCCCTCTCAGTANTGAGTGAGTCAAGCCAACTTAGAATCGCATTACCTACGGCTGCGCAACATATGCTCAAGTCTCTGGCCCTAATTTGAGAAGAAGGTTTTAGAAAATGGGGGTGGAGAGATTTTGAAAGAGAGTTTGAAAGCAAGGATGAGAGAGATTGAAAACGATGTTTTATGACATACAAACACAAGGCAACACAATGGCTTAAGTAGCATATAACTTTTCGGGTAGGGAGAATTTGACAACTAGTCGCATCCCCCTATAGTACATTTTGAGGCGATTCAGGTTTGACAGACTTAAGCGTGATTTTGCCGAACGGTCATACAAAACCAAGGGGAGGAATTGACAACTAATCCCACTTCCTATAGTACATTCTAGAGCATTTCATGTCTATCAGGCGTAGACATGATTGTGCCAAAACGTCATAGAACACCGGATTCCTAATCTTCCTCATCCTACCTATTTGAGTTTAAAACCTATTTCTTTCTTAAATGTGCAACGTTTTTGGCTATTAAAGCGAACCTTTTACTACACTTTGTTCAACTTTAATGTGGTTTGAAAACGCAATGCTACTTTAGAACACCTGAACCCCTTCCCCGCAAGCTTAGGATGTCTAGTTGCAAGGCGGTGGAGCTTGTTTTTAAGTGAAAAATTCAGTAGTCTCAACGCCTGCTGATCCAAAGTGTTGTAATTTCGCATATCCTATGCTATATCCTTCTGCATACAAAATAGCCTTGGATGATGATTTAGGGTGCATTTATAGGTGGTTATGAGGTGGTGATGGACAACGAAATTGACTATGGACTACCATTGGAGGTAGAAATGTGAGGTCTCACATCGGTTGGAGAGGAGAGCGAAACATTCTTTATAAGGGTGTGGAAACTCTCCCTAGTAGACGTGTAAACCTTGAGGGGAAGCCCAGAAGGGAAAGCCCAAAGCGGACAGTATCTGCTAGCGGTGGGCTTGGGCTATTACAAATAGTATCAGAGCTAGACACCGGGCGATGTGCCAGCGAGGACGCTAGACCCTAAAGGTGGGTGGATTGTGAGATCTTACATTGATTGGAAGAGGAACGAGTGCCAGCAAGGGTGTTGGGCCCGGAAGGGGGGTAGATTGTGAGATCCCACATTCGTTGGAGAGGGGTACAAAACATTCTTTTTAAGGGTGTGGAAATTTCTCCCTAGTAGACGTGTTTTAAAAACCTTGAGGGGAAGTTCGGAAGGGAAAGTTCAAAGAGGACAATATCTGGTAGCGATGGGCTTGAGTTGTTACAAATGGTATCAGAGCTAAACACTGGATAGTGTGCTAGTGAGGACACTAAGCCTCGAAGGTGGGTGGATTGTGAGATCTCACATCGATTGGAGAGAGAAACGAGTACTAGCGAGGACGCTGGGCCCCGAATGTGGGGGGGGGAGGGAGGTGGATTTTGAGATCCCACATTGGTTGGAGAGGGGGAACAAAATATTCTTTATAAGGGTGTGAAAACCTCTCCCCAGTAGACACGCTTTAAAAATCTTGAGGGAAGCGTGAAACGGAAAACCCAAAAAGGACATCTGCTAGTGGTGGGCTTGGGCTGTTACATATGGTATCAGAGCCAGACATCGGGCAGTGTGCCAGCGAGGACGCTGGGCCCCGAAAGCGGGTGGATTGTGGAACGAAGCATTCTTTATAAGGGTGTGGAAACCTCTCACTAGTAGATGTGTTTTAAAAACCTTGAGGGAAGTTCAAAAGAGAAAGCCCAAATAGGACAATATCTGTTAGCGGTAGGCTTGGGCCGTTACTATAGGGGCTCAACGTGAATGGTCAATACAGCACGTACTCATTCGATTAATGAAACTGATCTTCGAGCCTCTTCTTTCGTGGACCGAAAATAAAACATTCATTCGGGTAAGTGGTCTTCTCTTTTAACTACCCCCAAAGAGATGTCAAAGCTACTATTTAGAAGTCTAGGGATCCCATATAGGTTGAGTTGAAAAATGTTTGATGCCTGTGTCATAATGATCATGAAATCTACACACTCGGCAGTTTTCCCATGGTTCAAAAAATTTTATTGTTCTTCAACGGAAGTTCCAGAATTAGGACTTTTATTTTCATTGAATTTGTTGACAAACGGTGTTTTTAATGCTTGAAATTTGAAAATAGTCACAGTGGCGGCATTATGAAAACCCAAGTCAATTATACATCTAATAATGCCTGTAGAGATTGAATAGATATTAGGATTAATTGACCATCCTTTTGAGACTTTTTGTCATAACTACCTGCCAAGTGCTTCATTTGTTGACCATAACCTACATTTAATGTGTGTGCTTTTGCTTGTTTGGAAAACTTGATGGTCTATATGTATTTATTAAATGTGTTGCATTGACTTTACAGGTTGCATCGTTCGAGAAACTTTACAAGATCTTTTAGAGATACTAAGGTTTGTAATAACCTAAGTTTGTCGCTAGCAGGTACGGTTCTCTTTGAAACGTGTCTGTTAGGGATAGGTTTCCACACTTTTGTAAAGAATGATTTTTTCTCCTCCCCAATCGATGTTTAGAGCCCAGCGTCCTCGATGGCACTCGCTCCCTTCTCTAATCGATGTGGGACCTTCACAATCCACCCCCTTTAGGGCCCAACGTCCTTGCTGGCACAGTGCCTCTTGTGCACCCTCCCTTCGAGGCTCAGTCTCCTCGTTGGCACATCGTCTGATGTCGGGCTTTGATACCATTTGTAATGACCCAAGTCCACTGCTAGTAGATATTGTTCTCTTTGGGCTTTCTCTTTCGGGCTTCCCCTCAATGTTTTTAAAATATGCCTACTAGGGAGAGGATTCCACATCCTTATAAAGAATTATTCGTTCTCCTCTCCAATCGATGTGGGATCTCATATATTGAGGGAGCTTCATCTATACGAGGCTGCTTCTAAAGACATGGCCTATCTCATTTTGTAGCTATGACTCATCTTTTTCGCTGGTAATCTATATTCTTTCCATTTTGCCTGAATATTAAGCCTTTTGTAGCTATGACTCGTCTTTTTGTAGCAATGACTGCTTCTGAATATTCTTTCTATTTTGTAGCTATGTCTCGTCTTTTTTGCCTTTGATGTTCTTGCAAATTCTGAAGTTTTGGCAAACATGGGTTCATATAAAGACTTAGAAAGTTAGTACCTTCTCTTGCCTGGCTAGCTTTGCTACTGATAGAACAGTGTTGTTATAGTTAGTGGCAAATTTTCTTCGAGGAAAAACAAATTAGTAGCTTATATGTTATGGGAAGGTTAATTTTTGAAGATGTGATAACTACTCAATATCCTTACGGTAAGTTAATAGCATTAGAGCGTCTATGCAGTGGAATTCATTTTGAAGTTGATAAATGCATTGCTTGGGAAGATATAGGCTCGAAAAGCATGTTAATAACCTCCACCGGCCCTTCTACCCTAAATACTTAGCTAAAATGTCTAACATTTTTAATGCCAACCAACTCATTCGGACGATACAGAAGTTTGTGTCAACTTTCAAAGTCGTTTATCATTATCGGGCGGAACAGTCGTTTATCATTGTCAACTTTCAAAGTTTGTGACAACACATCCCATCATTTCCAAGAAATTTGACGGTTCATAATGAGTTCAAAAAAACATAAAATTTAATAGACGAAACCGATCAAAAGCATCTAAGTTTATCATTATCGTTGAAGGGTTTGAAAGAATGTTGAATGAATTCAATTTAATTTGAACAAATGCTCTACATTGATGACTCAGTTGAAGATCTAGAGAGGGTTGTAGGCGCCAAACAAGCAGCCAAGGCCCTCTCCAAACAATTTACAATGTCCGTCATAGAAGGCCTATGCCTTCCTTCCGTAATAACACAATCAGCCGCCAAATACCCCACATACTTCACCGCCTCTATCTCAAACGGCGTTGGCGCCGGCACTCTCAAATCCAACACCCTATGAATCTCATCTCTTACAATGTATGGCACCACCACATCCACCACGTTCCTTGGCACCCCGTTCTCGTTCTTGTGAATTGCCTTACACCCTGACAACAGCTCTAACAACACAACTCCAAAGCTATACACGTCACTCTTCGTCGTAAGCTGTTGTAACCTATAATACTCTGGATCCATATACCCCACTGTTCCAGCCGCACGTAGCGACAGATGCGATGCATCATCGTCTGGCCCCATCAGTGACAGTCCAAAGTCCGAGACCTTTGCTGTCCATCTATCGTCGAGGAGGATATTCGACGACTTGATATCGCGGTGGATGATCGGTGGGGAGAGGTAATCATGGAGATACTGTATTCCTCTAGCAGCGTCAAGTGCAACAGCAATACGACGAGCCCAGGAAGCAGAAAGCGATGATAATGGGAGCTTATGGAGATGGTCATGGAGAGTGCCGTTGCTCATGAATTCATACACTAATACTCTCTCGTGGGTGTCGTCGAAGAATCCGAGAAGACGTACGAGATTCTTGTGGCTAATGCGAGACAATGATTCGAGCTCGTTAAGGAAAGCATTGTCTTTGTCTTCTTGTCTCTTTGTTTCCCACATTGGAGAGAATTCAGCTCGTTTTATAGCTACTTCACGACCATCACTCAACACACCTCTATAAACCGATCCAAAGCTTCCATTCCCAATTTTGTGTTCTTCAGAGAAATTATTCGTTGCTTCAAGAAGAGTTGAAAGTGGAAAGTCCTCCAATTGGCCCAATTGCCCACCATTTCCCAAGCTAATCAAATGGCTCAATCTCTTCTCCAACATCTTCTTCCCACCGGCCGCCGTATCACGGCGGCCGTCACCGCCACCGCCACCGCCACCGCTAGTTTCGACAGGATCCTCCATTGGGCCAGAATCATGAACACGACAGACTCTGTTTTTACAGTATTTGTACACAAAAAAGGAACAACTGAGTACTAATGACAAGCTCCCAACACAGCCCACTACAAGTAGAGCCACCATTCTGCCACTCCACCGTTGGCCGGAGGAGTGATGGGAAAGCTGCGGCGGTGCGGCGGGGGACGGCGGCGGAAGAAGAGGAGGTCTTTCTTCACAAGGCTTGCAAATCATGGTTGTTTGTGTACAAAATTGAGCTGTGTTAGCCAATGGGCCACATGGGCATTCGGATCTACAAGAACCAGGTGGAACAAAATCAAAAACAGAGAACAAATTCCGGTCGAAAATTTCATTTCCCCAACAGAGTAAAGAGAAATTCCCTCTCAAAACACCACAAAACACGTTTTTCTTCGCCTCAATCGCAGTAAAAAACTCCCCTTTTAACCTCTCCGGCAAGGTAAAACTCTTTTCACCCCAACAAACCGCCGTCCCATTCAACCGGAGACCACAGCTCCGATTATCCCCCAAAGCCAACAATTTAAATTCCCCGGTCGGAATCTCTCCGGCTCCCACCCCCCAACATGCCAGTTCATTCCTCAAATCAATCCCACAGACATGCCGGAACCCAGCAGCAACCGCCTTGTAGCCGCTGCCGCCAAAGGCGGCAGCGGCGGAATGCCCAGTTCCATCGCAACGAATCTCGCCGGCGACGGAGAGACCACAAACGAAATCACCACCGACAGCAATGGACAAGAAATCAAAAGTGAAATACCGAGAGAACCGCCGCCATTGCCAACATTGAAGGCGATTAGTGGCGTTAACAACTCCACAAATGTGGGAATTTCCAGCTCGAAGCTCCTTCAAATTCGGGCCATTATAAACCACTCTGAATTCCATGTTTGTTCCATTTACAGAGTATCTCCAGCAAACAAGGACGGATTTGGCGGCGGTCGGAAAATCTCTCAACCCACAAAAGAACCCATCTCCGGCGACGATCCCGGAGTAAGAATCATTGGGTCCAAAGGGAATTTGAATCCCAGAAGGAAAACTAGAACAATTCAAAGAAAATCGAGAATTCAAACTGCAAATCAGAGTTTGATTTCCAGTTTCAGAAATGGAAACAGAGGATAAAGAAGAAACGATGGAGAAGAAACAGGGGAAGAACAGGAAAATCCATTGAAAACCCATAGAAATCTCATGAGGATGAAGAACAGCAAAGGGGATTTTGATGATTACTGGAAGCTTTTGATCTTGATTTTGATTTTGATTTTGATTTTGATTTTGATTTTGAGAGTCAAAATGATTTTAAAGGTGATATGAAGAACAAGGGGAACGCGGTGGGAGTGAAGACCAGTGACTTGGTCGCTTTGAAGATTTCAGATTTTTTTTTTCAAAAGGAAAATTATTATTATTATTATTTGTAATTATTATTATTATTTGTAATTATTATTATTATTATTATTATTATTATTATTTGTAATTATTATTATTATTAATTAATTAATTAAAATTGAAGAACATTTTATGAGACTCACTCCTTTCAGTCAAAGGTTCTATGTGTGGCCTCAAATTACTTTTGAAGTCAAATTTGTATTTATTTATTATTATTATTATTATTATTATTATTATTATGTTTTAATTTAAAAATAGTTGAATTTTTATTTTTCTTTTTTATGTCCAAAAAAAATATTTTAAAACTGTAACAACCGGGAAAAAAAAATATATATATATATATATAATAGGTCTAAGAAGCCTAAGCTCGAGTAAATAATAAATCTTTTTAGTGTAAAACTGTAACAACCGGGAAAAAAAAAAAAAAAAAAAAACAGTTCTCCCACTTCCCCTTCAAATTCCTTAGCTTTTAAAACCTCGTATTCATCTCAACTTATCCCTCTCTTTACATCTCGATTGCCCCTACCATTTTCCGACCCATTTGGAGAATAAGTAAAAGAAAGAAAGAAAGAAAGAAAAAAGAGAAAATAGGTTAGAAGTTGGCCTCGAGAACTGAACCAAGCTTCAGACCCCGGGTCCAGAGTTAGTCATGACTACATGTACTGAAAACCTTATTTTAAAAGACAGACTTTACATTGTCACAAAATTCAGTTGAAATTCTTATGTTATATCTGAAAAAATTAATAATTATGTCGAAAATTTATTTAATGCCTTTTTTTTTTCTACATTGTACGAGTGTTTTCTTCCTGAGTTCATTAATTTTCACTAATTTTTCATGTCTCGTATACCTTTAGTTTGTAATTACATGTGTTGGATGATGAAAGTCCCACATCGGCTAATTTAGGGAATGATCATGGGTTTATAAGTGAGGAATACTAACTCCATTGGTATGAAGCCTTTTGGGGAAGCCCAAAGCAAAGCCATGAGAGTTTATGTTCAAAGTGGACAATATCATACCATTGTGGAGAGTCGTGTTCATCTAACAACATGTACATTTAAAAATTTTCATTTTTCATATATTTCATGATTATAAACCCTTCGCACTTGTTAGTTTATTGCACGGGATTTTGGTATAATGAAGACAAATAATGTATGAATTAAAGTCTTAAACTTCTAGAAGCAAAACGGACCGTCTCTTAGGATTCTCTTTTAAAAATTACCGATTCGTTATTTCTTACACCTACGTAGACTTCTTCTTCTATTTTCTCTTCATATTTTTCGCCCGATATTTTTTAAAAAAAAAATATAAAAAAAATGTTATTTCTTAGATA